GCTTGATAATGAGACTGGCATATGAAGTTTCTAACATTTCTTTGGGTCACTGATGGTGGACATTTAAGGGAAAATCTAGGATCTTTCAAGTGTAGCTGGGTTGCAGAATTTCAATCACAATACATCTTGTATATAAAATAAAAATTAAATTTATTTTCTTTATTTTGGTTGTAGCTTATCTAGGCTTCTTCCCAAGCCCTCAATCAGTAGTGAATGAAGGTAGAGAAGAGAAATTAATTAAATGTCCCATCAAGTTTGGAGCTGTCAGGCCTGATAATTTAAGCTGTCTTTCTCAGTTGGTGTTCATTCTTTCGTTTGGATAAAATGCCCAATCTCTTATGTATTCACCCCCCCTGCTTCTTCCCCTAAGATGATGTCCTGGTGTGTGAGGAAAGGTGAGTGCAATTAATGGATCCTACTGGCTATGAGAGTAAGTAGGACTTCTTGGATTCATGCGGAGCCCTTGCATTATCTTCTGGCACTCCTGTTGCTGAATCCACCTCCTATCTGATCTCTAGATGGCTGCTTGCATTCCTGGCTGCAGTCTGGAGCTGGTGAGCTCATGGTCTTTTACTCTGGCTTGTATAGGATGGTAGGGAAAGAGTATGCAACTCCTCCAGTGGACCTGGTCTCAACTCAGGTCTCTGTAGAATCCCGAGTCCCTGCCATGAGCTCAATCCAGCTCACTGGCCAGTGGTCCATCCCCAGTGGCTGCTGTGAGGCTGTCTTACCTGTGACAGCAGCACCCATGCCTCAACTAACCAAGAGTAGCCAATGAAGCTTAACCAGCGGGCTTCTCTCTACCTAAATATGTGACTAGGACAATGGCCATTTTGATGTGGGCTTTGTAAGAAAGGTTGGGTCAATTCTTACATTTTTTTTTTGAGGACAAACACATCTAAAGACTCTCTAGGCTATCACCTTTAATATCCAGGGTCTCTTTATTCCTGGATTTAAGATTTGCTGGACATATCCAAGAGATGAAACATTGAGGTCTAAGATTATTTCTGTGTGTGGAAAAGACACACTTTACAGAATTTCTCTGATGAGATGATACAACTTGTGATCTGATAGGTCAAGTAGAAGTCTTCTCTCTAACAGTAAAATAGATTTGAAAATTTTCATTGACTAATCTCACCCCAATATGTGCCCTAATCTGTGAACTATGGGGATTTTCCAAGGTTTCCTAAGTGTAAACAGAAAATCTGAGTGTTTGTTATTCTCGATGTAATTTCTGGGTCTCGGAAGTCATTTATTATTACCATATACCTCTTAATAGCAGGGAATTTTTTCCTGAATAAACCCAGTACAGTAAATGACCTTCCTATCAGATATAACTATTTGTATTAAAACAACACAAGCAGTTGTATTGCAAGTATAGCATTGTGCTTTGAGAAGTAACTCGAAGATGTTTTGTCAGTAATACCTCACTCAAACTCAGTAGCTGGATTCTGACTAGCAATCTCTTTATTGTTTTCTGTTTTAACTACCTTGCCCACAGAAATAAAAAAATGCATTTTCCATATAGCTGACTTTCTAAAATGCTGCTTCTCTTTAATCTCTCCATATGGTATGTGTTCTTTGTAACCAGAAAGTAGTTACAGAGTATGTATAAATAAATAAATGTAAATAAATAGAATTTCTTTTTTTTTTTTAATACTGACCTTTCCAGAGAATTTTATGATTCTCCTTCCTTGCCACTCCTGACTCTTCTGTGGCTGGATCTGACCTGAACTTGTGAATTCTTTACATTTGGGGAGCGTCTATTCAGCCCAGTTTGCATGCGTCATGTAAGTTATTTCCTTTGAGAAATGCACATACATTTTCACTGGGTCTACAGGCCTGGGGAGTTCCTGTGGCCCTAAAAGTGAGAACTGGTGTCTCTCAAATCTCTTTCTTCCCCTTATGAGTACTGAGAGCTAGGCGATGTGGAGCCAGGCTCCTGCCAATACAAGCACCTCCTGCTCTTCCGCTATGCACTCCACCAGCAAGATTCACACGCTCGCTCATTCCCTCCACAGAGAACATTCTTGAGCATCCTGACTGTTTCCAAGATAGGGAAGGTAGAAGGGTGGGTAGAAAACTGAATTCTCTTTCGCCACAATTTACATTTAACTCCAGCTAGTGTTCTTTCTCTTACTTGGAGAAGAGTCCAGCTAATGAAATACGTAAGATCAGATTGGTTATCACAATATTAGCAAACAAAAGGTACAGAAACTAAACTCACATGCCAAGGGTCACTATGACAGCCTTTATCTTCAATATTTCTATCAGATTATTATGTGTAGTGCTTGCAGACGCATTGCACTATCGTGTGTTTGGAACATATGGACTAAAACTTGGAAGACGACCTGCATCAGGCATAACAGACACCAAAAGCAGAGATATACAAACCTACGCTAAGGTATTGATGGGTACATCTCCCTAAATCACATGATAGCTTAAATCATACTCTGATAATTGCCTCCTGCAGATGGAATTCAAGAGGAACCCATCAATTAATAAAATTATATGACTTAATATAAAAACCTTTGGTGTATATTACATGTATTAATATATGATAAATCAAACTATAGTTTAGAATTTTGTCTGCTAATTATATTTATTGATTTTAATCTTCAAGATAAGCTTTGTGATTCTTTTTAATAGCATCATTGGTTTAGTCACTGTATATGTATATGTTAGATATATTAGGTCTCTGTGTATATATTTACATGTATACACACATATTGTAAGCATATATGTATTTCTCATAGACAAATAAATCTTCTTTGAGCACTTTGTGTTCCAAAACTAGTGTTTGCATTTGAATTTTCAAAAAAAATACTTTATTCTTGCCAAATAATTGTATTAAAGACAGCCTGTATAGCAGCATAGCAGAATTTACTTCTTAGAACATTCACTTAATTACCTAGAAAAGTCCCTAAAATTCCAACACATGGATGTTATAAGAGCACTTATGGCTGTGTGCAGTGGCTCACGCCTATAATCCCAGCACTTAGGGAGGCCAAGGCAGGTGGATCATGAGGCCAAGAGATCAAGACCATCCTGGCCAACGTGGTGTAATGCTTCCTCTACTAAAAAAAAAAAAAAAAAAAAAAAAAAAAAATACAAGAATTAGCCGGGTCTGGTGGTGGGCACCTGTATTCCCAGCTACTTGGGAGGCTGAGGCAGGAGAATCGCTTGAACCTGGGAGGTGGAGGTTGCTGTAAGCCAAGATGGTGCCACTGCACTCCAGCCTGGTGACACTGGTGACAGAGCAAGACTCTGCCTCAGAAAAAAAAAAAAAAAAGATACTTATAATTATGCACCAAAAGCAAATTTGGGCTTTTCAATATTATCAGTAGCTACAAAACAAACAAATGGCTCTGATGGTAAGGCTATAGCAAAAGGACTTACTGTTGGGTGATCCTGGAAATCACAGTCTATGGATCCAGACCTGCCAGTCATGGCCCGCACTGCCATTTTCCTCTTCCTTATGTGAGACTGTGGCATCTTTACTAAATGACATTTTGTGCTGTTTTCACACTATTGTTTCTTCAACGTCTTTAACTAACTTTCATTTTGTTCTTCAATCTGGTATATGTAACATGCAGGGAGCCTATCAACAAATTACTAAAGCTCTTGGTGACTCCTCCCAAAGCTCTTGGCTAACAGGTGCAAAATAGTGAACTGAGAGATTTTGTGGTGAAAGAATAATTTATTGTAATGGCAAAGACTTCAGCCCTTACATTTCAGAAATGGCGGCAGGAAGTACCCCTGGAGGACCATTCCCCTCAAAACTCTGGAATGGCTACAACATTATGGATTGACAAAAGTTAATTTTTGACCTTCTACAAAGTTACACGATGTGACTTATTTTGCTTTTGCCTGGATGAGTGGGGTGAGGTCCCTATGAAGTTAATTGGTATTTTTCATCTGCTAATTCATATCCTATGTGGAATTACTTAGGCAGAACTCCAGACTCAGAGTGAACTTTTCTCTCTGCTCTTCTCCTAAGCAATTTATTTGTCATTTACTCTATCTTCATCTTTACCAGTTTGCTGTAATTTAATTTAGATTAGTGATATGCCAATATGTGAGCCAGGGAAAAAACTTATTTCCTTTATAGCATCCTATGAATTGGTCAAAAGCAATGACAATTTCAAGGAGAAATCTGGGCTTGAAAACTGAGTTCCCACCACTGCCAGTCCCTGGTGCTTCGCCATCTTATCTAAAGCTTCTTCTGAGAACATCACAGCAGGTTGTCCCTGATTGCTGGTACATTCTCCTAGAGGTGGGACAAGTGTAAGAAGAGCATTTGACACAACCCAGTTTCTCATGAGACGACTCCCACTGAAGGTCATTGTTTAAAGGAGAGCCATATTTTGCAGCTCTTCAGGAAAACACCACAATGCATTTCATAAAGCATACCAAGATGGCAAAACAGTTCAGTCCCATTGGAAGACAGTGTTTATTCTCTATTTCACCCCTTCTCTAAAATGGGCGATTGCTTTTCTGCCAAAGCAGCTCAAAAGGGCTATGAAAGCTAAAGTCCTTCAAAGCTGTTAAATGCGTCTTCAAATATACAATAAAATCAGCATGACAAATCTTCCAGTAAAATCTCTGGAGCATCACAGCAGCGCCTATACGATTTTCCTTTCAGTCAGTATTTTAGTATTCCACACCTTGAGAAACAGGGAAAGCCAATGTGGGCAAGGAAAGCTAAGCAAAACAAAAACCAAAACAGAAAAAAAAAAAAAAAAAAAAAAAAAGCCACCACCAACAAAGACAGTGAAAAAAAAAAAAAATGCAAACAGCCACGCGAGCTATTAAGCATATGCCAAAGTCAACAATCGGTGCGGGTTTGCCACGGCTGTGCCCTGCAGGTAGAAGGCAGGCAGCACGGGAGCAAATGGAAGGGGAAAGAGAAAGAGATGCAGGAAGTGGAGGAGCCGGGAGCAGGGCGGCCTGATTGTGAGCCGTAAGACACACCATCAGCCATGCAAAACAGGACATACCTTTCTGGCTTGCTGGTTCTGTCGGCTGAGACAAAGCAGTCCCATTCGCAGCGGGAGGCCAAATCAAAATGAAATTTTATTTAGTCTGCACTGTCCCCAGATTGGGTTTCAGAATGACTGCTTTAGGAGATAGCATGGATGTGGCTGATGCATGCTTTGCATATGAAACTGCAGTAGGAAAAGAAATCTACATAATCAAAAAAATCTGTGCTCTGTGTGTGTGACAAAAACCCTGGACTCCAGTGATTTTGCTGCCGTGTATGTTTCAAGCAGGCCTTTTCAGGGTTGAGAGACGTTAAAAAAATTTTCTAAAATAATGTTATTAACAAATATTAATAAATCTATAACAGTCTAGTTTATGAAAATATATGCAATTTTCTGGTTACAACTCTGCCACATTAAAATAATTGTGATTTCTAGTATATTTTAAGAGTGTATAAAAAATCTGTGTGAAAAAACAAATTGAATTTGAAAACAAGTGCAGGCTATTTTTTTTTTTTTTTTGGAGGGGGGTTGTTCCAACAATTGCTATACTCCCTGAACCTTGATAAAATAAATTAAAAGCTTAAGTCTTAAGCAATATGGAAATTAACACTAGGAACCTTTTTGACTTTTCTCTGGGAAGACCCTTATTCATGTTTAGAAGCTATTTTAAAAAATAGGGCAAAAGTCTTTGAAAACACTCTTTAGATGTTGGAAATTATATTTTTAAAATTAAGAAAAGGGACTTTAAAAGGTATTTAGAATGCATATCATGAATCTCTAAATAGATATGTGTGCTGTATGTGTGAATTGTACACACACACAGGCATACCTACTCTGGTCTTAATACGGGGTTACCTCCTGTTTGGGGCAGGAAAAGGAAGTGATATTCCAGACGCTGTGAAACAAGGGGGCAGAATAGAGCCTGTTGGTAAATACATATTATTTCTCAAAGAAATACTTATCCCAGCTTGGTTTTGATAGATCGTTTCCTTGAGGTTGAGGGCTGCCAATCATTTTCTTTAAAGAGGAAATAAAAAGTAAAAGAAAAAAGAAATAGAAAGAAAAAAAAACATACCTGTATAAAGCGGTAGCAAAAAAAAAAAAAAAAAAATGGCAAGACAGGCTCTCCCACTTCACGGTGCTCTGAAAAAAAACATGGACTGTCGTCGTTCTGTTTTATGAAGTATTCCCAAGGATGGGAAGAATATGAAATCTGCCCATTTAAGCTCTGAGGAGGCAGTCTCCAAGCCACGACCCAGAGCAGCGGAAAAACTTCTCACGATGATGAGATACAAATAGCTCAAACAATGTGCTTCCACACACCAGCCCCAGCAGAAATCACCAACAGCAGAACCGTGTACTGACATCCCTTAGAGAGATAGTCAAGCCTAATTCTGTGATTCAGGTTTTGACATAATTTTCTTAGAAAACCTTTTCCCTGTTCCAATTTGGATGGGTGACCTGTCAATAATAATATTTACAAATGTAAAGGTCTTCTTAAATTGGTAATTTTGCGTTAGGCATAATGGCTTCATGTTCAGCTGTGTACACCACCAGCATAATTAAAGCATAAAATCCAAAGAGAGCAAATAGCGTGTGCTTCCTTTATGCTCCAGAACCACCACATCCAGGTCTCCCCATAACAAGGGCAGTGCCTTGGTTTCTCTGTTGCTTTGAAGCAAGACCCTTTTTTGCCTTGTCTTTCCATTATAACATAATTGTTCAGATATTCATTAGGCAGGAATTTTGGTTACATATTATTTTTAGTGACAGGACACCCCTTTTCTGGAGGACGGAAAGATGTGACTTCTTAACCAATTCTCTATCCCCCAAATTCAGTGCACCTGGCATTCACTTTCTACCTAATAAGCATCCGTGAATATGCAAATGTTCAGTGTCTCAGTAACCTCATTAATTTATTCCTCAGGCAATCATAGAATGTGAACCGGTCCTGTGCCACTAGTACTGGATATGGTAGGAGCAGCAGGGCTATGAGAATCAGCTGAAAACTCAGGCTGCATATTGAAATACTGTTTCATCTTTATTCCGTCCTTTGGCACTCTAATTCAAACAAAGACTCTTACCTTCCTCTACTTAGCTGACAGCCAAAAGCAAAAAAGTTAAAAAAAAAAAAAAAAAGAAGAAGAAGAAAAAAAAAGAAACAAAAAAAGAGAAATGCCTAGGGTTAATAATTAAGATCTTGCCTTCACTACCAAACACAAACCACAGGTGATCCGTGGCTTGAACAAAATCTCCACAGCGAAACAGTTTCCAAACTGCCCAAGTTGTTTTATTTTATTATTTATTGGAGGTTGGCAGTGGGGGATGGGGAGTAGAGGGCAACCTGCTTTCCATACAGCAATGCAGTTGAATAATCTTTCACTTTGCCCACATTAAAAGCCCTGAATAATGTTTATAAAATGTTAGGGAATCCCGGTAGGTTTCCTATTTAACAAGCCATGTATGACAAATCACAGTGTAATGTACTACGTTCTTAATCTTTAATTAGAATGTGAATATCTGCTAGAGAACGCAGTTAACTTTGACACGTTAAATCTTCTGGTTAAAGTGCCTTACAGGAAGAGCAAAGATGAAACACTGTAACAATCTCCCGCTTCTCTCCATTCACCCAGACAGTTGGGGAAGGATGATAACATCTTGTAATACCTGCTCTGTAGTAATTAATCGCTGTGGTATTTAGGACCATTCAAGTAGACAAATATGACAGAGACAGGGACAATTAGAAACCTTGTTCAAGCTACATTAACTTTTCCAGCTATTACAACACAGCCGCTCAAGTTTGCTTGTAAAAGCTGCAGAGGGATTGCTATGCATTAGCCGTGCGATTATTAATGAAAGAAAAGGAGAATTGTGTTTATTGTAGTTTGAAAATTGCAAATAAATTTCAATTATCTGCTATGTCATTTTGTTAAACATGCACTCTGGAAATGCCTTTGTACTCTAAATCATGAGCTACTTAGAGCAAACTAATACCAGAAACCCTCAGGGAGATAGGAAGTCAATATTTTTGTGGAACTGGACTTTTTTTTCTTTGGAAGTGAAATTGGAGATGGGCAAAACCACCTGAATGGGCTTTTCAGGTAGCAAGCTCTGTGACATCCTGGTGTGTATACAATTGCTAGGTACCAGTAGATGTTGAGTCAGATGTCGTGGGCAGACATCAGGGCAATCGGAACCACCACACTGTTAAAGGGAACCAGAGAAGCTCTCTCTCCTTGGGGAATATCCCCAAAACAATCATAAGAAATCAATTATGATAGATAAACAATGTCTGCCATCTCTGCTCCTTCCAATAACAAAGTCAGTCTTGGGGAAGAAAACACCTATGAGAGGTTCTAGTTAGCTGCAGAGGTGATGGAGTCAATGTTTCTGGCAAATGGCTCATGTCTACTGCCTTTCATGATGATAACTGCCAATCACTTTGAATGGCAAACTTGATCTTGACACACACACATACGCACACAATTGGAAAGCAGGATTAAACGTACCGGCTTCTCTGCTGCCTTTTGTGAAACTATTCATTTTTCTAAGCATGCAGACCTATACATCCAATACCAAACCTCTCCTTGGTGTCTTCCACCCAAACCACACGGCAGACAGAACCACTTTCAAGGGGCTGATGAGATGTGCATCCTATGGCCTGGAAAATGCCCTATGTCCAAACTTCCCACCCAGACTACTGTCCTCTCACCCAGGAACAGACCACAACACTTTCCCACCCAATTTATTATTCGATTTTACTGCCCATCAGAAATCAAACATGAAAAAAATAATTCTGGTGCGCCTTGGAGCTGGGGACCTGATCCAATTGTCTTCTGTAAATCAAAGAAAGACCAGCTTAGCATGGCACAAATCTGCATCCCCACCCCAGAATCTGTTGTCACACACACACAAAAAACCCGCTCAGTGCTCAGGAACAATCTCCCCTCTCAGCCGAGCTGCGATGATGTCAGCTTTCTGATTACAAACTGCTTATTTATGCTTCAACAGCTGCCAAGAGCAGCAAATAAGTGGCTAAAAGAGTGTCTAGACCAGGCTTTCAGGCCGCTATTGTCTGGGGGTTGTTACCTGGTTGACAGCGATGGGTCCAGCTGCCTGGTGTGAAAGGGAGCAGAGATGGCGAGGCCATGATTGACAGAAGGCCCTCGGGGTCAGCCCGATGGCCCCACGTCTTTATATTCCTGGCTCCAAAGGGAAAGCCAGGGCCCTGCCTGGAGGTTGGAGGTGAAAGGAAATGTTGGAGGGTAATGAAAAAATCTTTTGGCCAAATTTGCGATCATGAACACTTACCCCAGGGAATCAAAGCCAGTGCAAGTGGCCACAGAGTAGCCAGAAATGGGCACCTCGAGCCAAAGTAGGGAGGCATTTCTGATCAACCTCACAGGCCCCTGAAGGAGTGCGGGGGAGGATGCATAGGCACACATAAATTCACGCTCTTTTTCTTTCTTACGTCTTTTTTGTTTTATTTTATTCTGTGGTGTGGGATAGGGAAGCTTGAGCAAATGCCTTTGTCACCACCTTTTTAACACCATCCCGATAGTTCGAGGACACTTTCAGAAACCTTCCCCTTTAGTACTTTCAATGGAAGGCTGACAGAACATGAAACACTCCAACATTTGGGGAAAATAAGGAGCTTTGCAAGCTGACGTAAATGTCTAATTAGAATTTTCCACCACCACCCCTTGCAACCTTTGAATCTTCCTTTCCCATTTGTTTCCAGCCACGCTCTCCATTTTAACACTTTTCAGGGTAGATTTGAATGTACCAAATCGCTGCCTTCATCCTGGCATCTCACAATTCTTTGGAGTTGATTGGCACCAAACATTTGTGGCTTCAACTCTGCTCCTCCCCCAGCCCCATTTTATAGTTTGGGGTTCTTGTGAAGAAAAGAATAGTGCTAACTCTTGATCACTGAGACACACTCATTTGAATATAATAATCATAATGAAATAACTTCTTCCATGGAGCCCACCCTGTGGTTACTGCTGCTCAAATACTTTGCTCCTTTTCAGGAGCTGTAGCGCTATTATTTCGACACCATTGTTCCTATAGGGATAATTAATAAATTACAGCTCCCGGGCAGAGCAACGAATGCTCCTACTTTCACATTCTTACTTACTTTTTCTCCAAGCATTAAAAACACAGTTTC